CCGTTTCTTCTTGGGACTTTCACATATCCCCGCCACTTGTCCCATTGGTGGTCCCCGATACTTATAGTCCCGTCGGTGGTCCCCGACACGTAGTCCCGCTGGTGGTCCCCGACACTTAGTCCCGTCGGCGGTCCCCGACACATTTCGCCCCGGACGCCATTATTTTTACTTAGTCTCACGTGGCCCCAGGTGCCTTTCCCCGAGGTGTCCCATGCCCCTTGGGCGTCTTGTCGCCCCATAGCGACCTCTCTCCTCAGTCTTTCCTTGCGCCTTGTGCGTGCCGATCTTTTTGGTTGTGGGCCTCCGCTCCGAGGCTCCCGTAGGTGGCCCCTACGTTGGGCCCTCATTTCCTGGCTTCCCGCGGCTTCTAGCCGCCCATCCCTCGACTTCCTCATTCCCTTATTGTTGTCGCGCTGCAATTGCTAGTTCAAAGGGCCCTTTGGCCTTAGTCTTATTGCATTTTAATGGCCCTCCCGACCTCCTGCTATGTTCTATGTGCCCCTGTTCTTGCGCTCGCTTGGTTGCCGTCGCTAGTTCTTTCCTCCTGTGGTTCTCTCCTCAAGGCATCACTCCCTTCTGCGACCTAATCCTTTGTCTTTTCTCTCCCCTGCTTCCTCACTCCAGATTTCTCTGTTGTGCATAAATTGTCCGTATTCAATCTCTCGAGTGATGGGAAGTTATTCGGGACCCACCAGTCCCGACAACGTGTCAGCCGTCTGTCAACCAACTAATCAAAAATAAAAAATTAGACTTTTTATTTTTTATTTTTTATTTTATTTTTTATTTTTAAACCCACTTGTGATGCCAGATAGGAGTGATGATAGGAGCAAACAGTCCTACCTGGACCTCCGGGGGCTCCAATCTATTGGTGGGGAGCTGCACCTGCTGGAAAACGGGTCCAGCGTCCCTTGATTGCAATGAAAAGATAATGATACAGAAAATGCTGGGAATCGGGCCCAGCGTCCCTTGTACCTCTTCACCCTCCAAAAATAAAAAATTAGACTTATGTGAGCGGATCTATGCACAATTGAAATGGTAGTGATGTACAGTAGAGTTCACAATTGGAATCCCCTTCCCTTGTATCCAACGTACCTGTGAGCATCATCAAGCTGCGGTGTCTAAGGTGTGCAATCACGGCCCACCCCTGTGCCCAAGGTGTATGCTTATGACCAGCCTGCCCTTTGTTTACCCTCGCGTGCAACGAGCCTTACGTCCGACTGATCTGGCTCATCAAGAGGCAATTTAAGGACAACCCCCGAGAGTCCTCAAGAATTATTTAACGTCGCAATCAGGACGACGATCCCAGCCAGTGGACAGATCGGACCCCAACCAGAAATGTTTATAGACGGTCTGGGAGCATCTGCATTAGGACTGGTCAGTCCGCACACCCCTTCTATCAACACAACAAAGAGTCTCAATGGACAAAGCAGCAAAGCCTGCGTGTACTACTCCCATGGGTTGGCATGGTGACCGTGACCCGTGCTTCGACCAGGGCCCTTCAGAGGCACCGCCCTCTCCTGCTAGATGCGCCACCAAGAAGAATGTCGTCTCTCAAGGTAGAGCACACACGACTCCTCACCAAAAAAGGACACTCAAGTTGGACTCACTTCCTCACGGTAAGAAGAGATTGAGAGGGTAGATAAGGAATGGGAACAACGTACCTGGAGATAGCTGGCCCCAACCACAGATTTCTCACCAATTGGGCCGACGTGCATTTAGATGACCAGTCAATAGCCTCAGTACCACCCACAACGCAATGCAGTGCGACCTCAGCCAAAATGCCACGTCAGCATACTCTCATCACCACGCATACACCCGCTGTCCCCACAGCTCCCACACTGTCGCCACAACCTTCCAGTGGCCGGCCTCTCCACCTAGGCCCCACTAATACATACCAGCGCTAAAGTATCCTTACTGCACATGAAGCATCGTCAGCGCACCAAGTAACAATGTCGCCGGTGCCAGGTGATCGACGATCACGAACCAGCTCCGATACCAAATTGCAAGCAATATGAGTGTGAACGATACAGAAAACCAAGTTGCGAAATCACACAGATGTCCAGGTAGTCGTGTCCAAGCAGAGAGTACAAAATGCACCGAGAAGCCATCCATATAGAGCAATACAATGAAGTAATGAGCCAATGTTCAAGCCCGTAGGCCACACCAACACAGTACCTCTCCTGTCTGGAGCTCAGCGCCCAGCCTACTCTGCCCGACTATCCTACCTACAGCTGGTTCACGCAACAGGCTCACTTCGACTCTCGAAGACCAATGTACATGACTATTAACACCATAGCCGACCTCATTTCATGCACCAGGTACGTATCTCGTCACCCTCAATCAGACCTTGATTACCCACCCTCGCCTCCTTCCCTGAAGACGACCTGATCGCCCTCCTACCCCCTGGCGTCCAGCAGCCCGGCTATGGCTGCCTGTGCCCCGCTGCCCTGCAGTGCCCCACCTCACCACTATGCGCCCCGTCAGCGCCCTTGGCAGCAGCGCAGCATCAAGCGATAGCGCAGCAGCACTTCCGCATTGCCTGCACTGGCCAGAATGCCTGGCCTGGGCTGCCTCACTTCTGTTATGGAAGTGGCAGCCTCCTGGATGCTGCGTGTGGCCTGGCTGGAAGCTTCCAGTAGCTTCCAGTTGGGCCTCAGACCCTGCGCCCAGGCCCCAGACGACAGTTGAGGGCCTGGGCCCTTTTGAGTTGGGCACGGCCTGAGTCTCCGGACTTGGGCTGTTTGCTGCATCTGTGCAGGGCTCCCAGGCAGGTGCGTCGGCAATACTGCTTTTCCAAAGGCCGATGGCCTGCTTCCCAATGTATCGGCCCTGATTTGTGTGTATGTGCCCAGGCGCAACTGTCATGGCCTGGGCCAACTGTATGACGCAGCTTAGTGAGGCTCACGCGTCTACCCAACCAACTGGCGTGCTGCGAGAGCCTGAATACCCACATATGGAAATGTCGAATTTTGGCCTCTGACGAATATTCAGGCCCGCCTTCACTTAGGGCGGGCACTCGGCTTGCTGGGGACCTTAGCCCAGAACATGTGATGTCTGATAGGGCCCCTTGAGGGCTTGTTCATCACAAATGCAAAAATCTCAATCAAAATATTTGAAAAAAGGATAACCATTTGGTGGTGGTGGAGGGGTGGGGCCAGTTGAGTTATCCAGAATCGTGGGCAATTCTGACCCCAGATCTTTGAGCCCAGACATCCGGCCAGACCTTCGGGTCTCAGACATCTGATAGGATAGCTAAATCATAATCACACCAATTCATGAAAAGCAGTATAAAAGTGAGTTAACTTCTAGGATGGTTATGAGGGTGGAGACAAAACCTCACTGACCAGTATAAAAGTAAGTTAACTTCTAGGATGGTTATGAGGGTGGAGATAAAACCTCACTGACCTTGCACACGGTTTGAAGACAACTCTACCACTCTTCTCATCCTTGGTCTGTCGTACAGTGACATTCTTTCCCTCTTTCCAGTGCACCACCGACTCCTCAGAGCCTGTCACCAGTTCGCCATCTTGGCGCAGAAAGAAGGTCTTCGAGAGCACCCGATCTGTGAAGAATGGGTTCAGCAGAAACTCAAAGTCCAGTGTGAAACCCTCCATAATGCGCTTGTACCGAATATCGACCAAATAACTGAGGACGGATTCATCTCGTCGCCGAATCAGTTCAACGGTCGTTGATGAACCCTTGAGTGCAAGCAGCCAAAACCTTGGAACTGCAAGAAACCAGCTCGGTTTTCCACCACTGATGTCCTCACTTCCATCAGCAACCGCCAAACCCTTTTTCCCAAGTATGATCTGCCTCCGCTTCGCATATATAGGGCCGCCTTTTGTTGCAAAATCTTCCCTGGATGCTACAATCGCATTCAGCTTGTCCTCCTGCAGATCCTGAATCTTTTTGTGAAGTTTTTTCAATGCCCTGCAGTAAGCAAGTGGAACACATCACAAAGAATACGACATAGTCAAGATGCTATTTGGTCTCATGACACACAAAGGAACCCTCCAGAATTTAAACTTCATTCAAGCTGACCCTGCATGCCAGCTAAGCCATTCCCCACTAAGCATTACCGCACATACCAGCAAAGGCATTCTGCAAGCAAGAGAATCACGCAATGTTTACAAATACTAGCACCTTGATCAGCAAGCCAGCGGTTCAATCGTAACTGCAGGTTATCTATTATGTGTTGCGCTTACAAGCATGAGAGCTGAAAAGCCCAGTAGCTCCGGACCTTGCCTCGCAAACCTGTTTCAAGTTTTTTTTTTTTTTAATCTTGTGGCAGCGCCGCAGCGGTGTAATTCAGTGTTACGTGTGGATATGCATCAGCAAAAAGGTGCACAGGGAAAAAAGAGGTTGCCATTTACAAGAAGAATCAAATTGCATGAGAAAAGAAAGTGCACACCATTATTTGGCTGTTTCAATTACACGATCAACAGAGAAACACACATGCACAGCTACACGCACATATACAAAGTGGAGCAAGAACAAAAAGATTATCAAAGAGCCCTCTTAAAGCCCACATACAGCATAGATGCCTCATACACCAAGCTCAGCAAAAACATTAAGAACCTGCTAAAGAATGAAAGAGCAAAGCAAACACCACATGCACAGGTACACACACATATAGTTCAAAGAACCCTCAAACACACACATACAGCACACAGTACCGCATACACTGAGCACAGCAGAAACTTAAAGAACCTGCTGAAACATATACCAGGTGCGGAAAAAACAGAAGGAACCCTATAAAGCACACATACATTCAGCCTAACAAATGCTTTCATGATTCTCTGACATCATCCTCAATCTTTTGCTGCTGGGTTCTCATCTGGGCATGAACACAAGAGGCGAAGGGTAAACGATAATGAACTGTCTGGGAGTTCGGCACCATCTGAAGGGACTGAGCATTTGTGGCGTACCTCACACGCCAGCGCACAGCTGAGGGAAGCGTTTCCAGACCCGGTTCGGAAGCACTGACCACTTCATATGGATCAGTGTCATCAGAGTCCTTTCCTCCAGATCCATAACTCCCAGTAGTATACAAGGCCACCGCATTAGGTACTACCTTCAATCCAACAATAGAGAAGAGAGATGAGCAGAACACAAAAGCCATAAGCATAGAACAGAGCTGGTGACAAAGGTCAATGGATCTGCTATGAACCGCACAGTTCATCACCATTGAGTGCTCACATAGGCATGCATCAACACAAGTGGGATGACACGATTTCACATACTGAAAACTAGAGAGTAGAAAACCAGGAAGCGCAGCTTATATTTCCAACAAGCTACCACAAGAGCAAAGAGTTGACATCACCAGCGCTCATCAGCGCATACAAAGGTAACCAATAGTCAGCAACAACTCTCAGGTGAGTATCTCTTTCCAGCTCTTCTTCTTCTCTCTCTCTCTCTCACACTGGTCTTCTCTCTAGCTATGTCCTCACTGTGTCTTCTCTCCCTATATGCATGCACACTTACTACTACTACTCCAAGATCTACTCTGGATACACCCACTGCTATGCCTACTAACTGCACTGGCGCAGCTATGGCTGTCTTCTCCCTGCCAGTGCTAACTCTCCCTTCTCTCTCTCACTTAGTGCAGCACCCTAGCTGTTACATACTCCAATGAGTATGGGCAGAACCAAGAATCAACCAATATAGGATGAGTTTTTATGCAGTGGAAGTCTTATAACGAACTGACTCACATAGACTGACTCACATAGACTGAC